AAAAAAAGTCAGAATTCTGAGGAAAAAAAGTCAGAATTCTGAGATTAAAGTGTCTGTCTTTTTCCCACGTTAAACTGAAATAAAATTTAAAAATCAGTTAACTTTTTTTTTGTTTTCAGTGGCCCTAATCCTCTTCCGTAGAAATGTGGGTATGTACTGTAGGGTACTTTGGACAAAATGTATAGAATGCTAAATGAGCTTGCCATACCAGTTGTGTGTCGCTGAGTGCGGCTCTGTGTAAAGAGGTTGGTTGGATGGTGACAGTTGCTAGCTTTCACTCAACAAGGAAGTAGAAGCTGCCGTGTTCCGCAGACGGAACAAAGGTCCGTGGTTTGGTGTAATCGGTAAGTTGATCAGTAGAAATGTTGTGGTGAATAATTCTGGACAGAATGCGGAGCATCGATCCCAACAGTCCGTATTGATGCGGTTAAGCTAGCTGCTGTTTAAACTTTGAACTTAATTATTGCCGACATCTCTTTGAGGATTGACGCAGGAACTCAGAGATTTTCTACCGGTTTTATTTTTATCTATTCATTCTGTATTTAAAGCCAGTTTGGGCCATTTCAGAGATGGGTCATTATACATAACAAAGCAGGGACGTGTCGCTTTGTGCTCCACGCGAGGCAGGAACATCTGAGACGTCCTTCCCTCTGTAAACACCGCGACGTGGACAGGACATTGAAACAGGAGGAGAAAAGCTGCTGTTCCACTTTCATTTCATCTCCATGAAGGGTTTCATCCCGCGGCACCTGTCAGCCCGGAGCTCCAGGGCTTAAATCCGGACTCATTTCTCTTCTAAGATTTAAACATCGATTCAATGCAAGTTCTCTCATTTTTAAAAATATTATTCATGCAGGTAACATCAACTCCAACTTCCTTTACCACATTCATTTATTTTTGTTGGATGTATTTATATAAATCATTACTAGTATAGTCAGGGGCGGATTTAGGAAATCTGGAACCCCAGGCAAAGACAGACATGGGCCTCCCTGAATTGAGAATACTACACATAAAACAGGCCCATTATACAGATACAGAAATTTTAATAGAATAGACATGCATTATTAGTTCTATGTTTTTTTCCTCTCTTCTTATCCCTTTTTTGTTGTTTTCCTCTCTATGTTTTGTACCGTTTTGCTGACTTTTCATGCTGTCTCTAAAGGAATGACAGAGCACTAAGATCACTTAGCTGATTGCTCCTTCCTGTATAAAAGGAAAAGTGTTTTTCTCCCTTACACTAACAGATGCTATACTTTAAAATCACATTGATTCTTACCTGGCTCTGATAGGCATCATTCCAAAAAAAGTTAAAAAACAATCCAGGAATCTTTTTAAATTCAAAAAGTTTCCTGGATAATAAGCGAAACGTCTTCAAACTTGGAAACAAGGTCCAGTGGATTGTTTTTTACCTTATTTTTTTTTTGGAATGACTATGACCTGGATGAATAAAGATCTTCATCAGTATAGGCATCATTCTTCTGCAATTCCGTCCCTGGACCAGTTCCTGACTCGTCCTCAATTTATTTTTAATCTTTACCCATAAAATCCCTCAAGCCTTTCGTGTCATCTTCCGTTTTTCTCTTTTTTATCTGTGCAGCGGACTTCTGAAAACCTGACATTCACAGTTTGGAGCGAAACAAACTTTAAAAGTTGCAGCCCACAGTTGTCCTGGTCAAACCATTTTATGTTTGGTGTGAGGAGTTCTAATGGCCCCTTATTTAAAGAAAATATATTCCATATACCTAACGCATATATAAATATATATATGTGTG